GGCCTGATACAAAGCAAGAGAGAAAATGGGACTTTGGGGGCACATTCACAACCCACACAAGATTAGCCTTTTCAGGATTCTGCTTCAGTTCAGTGCAAGGGTGCGGAAACCACTTGCACTGAAAGTCAGTGTCATGTAGTGCACAGAATGTGAAAGCTGGGGCAAGTTCTGGGTTCGCATCCCTACTCACCCATTTGAAGCTTAGTCATAAGAACAGCCCCACCTGATCTCAGCAGAGGTCCACATATCCTAGGATCCTGTTTCCAACGGGGTGAGCAAATGCTTACAGGCATTTTATATATAGGGTGTGGAAAGCAGCAGCTGTTGTCTGTTTTTTGCCCCAGCACCTAGTTTTAAGAGAGAAACTGCCTAGTTGGAGATCTCCTCTGTCACTCTCTCAGCCTAACCTGTCTCATGGATTAAGAAGAGGTTATGCTGAACTGCCCTGAATAAGAGCTTACACTCCCAGCAGGAAGGGGTCCACTTTCTTATGGATCACAACAGTTCTGCTTCTCTCCTCTCCCCCCACCCTGCCCCCAAACTGCAGGTGTGATGAAAGCATCCTGTCACTGCTGAAGGATCCAGCTGAGAGGAAGAACCCTCCGCAGCCCCTCTCAGCCAATCATATCCTTTTGCCAGAGTGGTGGGGATGGTTTGCCACATGGTAGATGATTTGTGTGATGGTACAAGAACGGCCCTTTTCTGTGGTGGGCCCCCACTTGTGGAATGCTTTCCCTGGCGAAGCTTGCTTGGCACCAAAGTTACTTATCTTTAGGCCCCAGGTAAAAACTTTCCCTCTTCTCCTAGGCCTTTGGATAATTAAACAATTAACTGCAGGGTGGTGGTGGTATAGTTTTCATTATGGTATGTATGTTTGTGTTTTTAATATTGTAAATTGCCCCGTGATCCTCCAATGGAGCGTGGTATAAAAGTTTAATGAATAGTAATTTATAAAAGGGTGGGACGCGGGTGGCGCTGTGGTCTAAACCACTGAGCCTAGGGCTTCATGATCGGAAGGTCAGCGGTTCGAATCCCTGTGACGGGGTGAGCTCCCGTTTTTCGGTCCCAGCTCCTGCCAACCTAGCAGTTCAAAAGCACATCAAAGTGTAAGTAGATAAATAGGTACCACTCCAGCGGGAAGGTAAACAGCATTTCTGTGTGCTGCTCTCTTTTCGCCAGAAGCGGCTTAGTCATTCTGGCCACATGACCCAGAAAAACTGTCCATGGACAAATGTCGGCTCCCTCGGCCAGTAAAGCGAGATGAGCTCCGCAACCCCCAAGTCGTTTGGAACTGGACTTAACTGTCAGGGGTCCTTTACCTTTACCTTTAATTTATAAAAGGGCATGGAAAGAGCCGAGCTTCCACAATCTTGATGCTGTTCCATTCCAGAGCTGCAGTGGATTTGAACTTTCAACTTTGCGCATTGCAACCTTCCCTTAACCAAAGGCCACAGGTAGTCTTTGCTCTCTTCACTTCCAACTTCATCGGCGTTTGCTTCAGCCGCTCCTTGCACTACCAGTTCTACGTCTGGTATTTCCACACTCTGCCCTACTTGCTCTGGTGCACGCCTCCCAAGAAGCTTGCTCATCTGCTAAAGTGCGTACTGGCAGGGGGCGGGGAAGGGAGACGAGTCAAGGGGACTCAGGGTCATGCCAGCTATATGCCTATTTTCTCTGTGCAATCAGATCCATGTAGTTTGTAGGAACTGCATTGCAATTTTACAGAATTTACAGCATACATGCCTGTGATTCCAGCACATGCTCACTTGATCATGATTGCAAAGAGAACATCAAAACAAGCGAGGGGGGTGGGACTAGTGGGAGTTAAGCAATGTGCCGTAAATTTACATTTCAAATAATTTGCACATCTTAGACACCAAAAAAAATCTGGATGAAGAGGGAAGCTGCCACGTGGTGCCTGGAATAAAGACATTTTAAAAAATAGCTCAGCTTGCTGCAGAATTTTGATGGATTAGGGGTGAAGCAGGGAGTTCAGCTTTCCACCTCCACTTATGAAAACCTTGATGCAGGTGCCACTGTAACATAATTCATGTAGGAATCTAATCAAAACTTTTTATAAAAAGGCCCGTATATTTAGGGGGAGGTTCAGAACTTTTTATTGGCACATCTATTAGTTTTAAGAATGTATAAACAGTTTCCTAATCAATGTTTTCCAAAGCAGAATGCAGAATGTGTACACAAATCCGAAAAACAAACTTTGAAATCATTGAATTATCCAAACTCTGTATACATTATAAAATGGCCAAGTCACACTTCAGAGAAGTCTGTCTTAAAAAGAAAGTTTTCAATAGCTACCTATATTTCAGTTGGATGCCGGTTCCAGAAGGCTGGAGCTGCAGCTTTAAAGGCCTGATATATTTAGTGATATCAGGTGTACTTCTGGGGCATACAGAACTCTTAATGATGCCCTGTGAGGAGAATCTACTTGCCAGAGAGGAGCATGTGGGGCAAGGCTTAAGTTTCTCAAATCTCCTAGCCCTAACTTGTATCACTTTAAATGCTAGAAGTGAAACTTTTAACTGAGCCACATAACGTATTAGAATCATAGAATCATAGAGTTGGAATAGACCACAAGGGCCATCGAGTCCAACCCCCTGCCAAGCAGGAAACACGATCAGAGCACTCCTGACATATGGTTGTCAAGCCTCTGCTTAAAGACCTCCAAAGAAGGAGACTCCACCACACTCCTTGGCAGCAAATTCCACTGTCAAACAGCTCTTACTGTCAGGAAGTTCTTCCTGATGTTTAGGTGGAATCTTCTTTCTTGTAGTTTGGATCCATTGCTCCGTGTCCGCTTCTCTGGAGCAGCAGAAAACAACCTTTCTCCCTCCTCTATATGACATCCTTTTATATATTTGAACATGGCTATCATATCACCCCTTAACCTCCTCTTCTCCAGGCTAAACATGCCCAGCTCCCTTAGCCGTTCCTCATAAGGCATCGTTTCCAGGCCTTTGACCATTTTGGTTGCCCTCCTCTGGACACGTTCCAGTTTGGCAGCCAAATGCAGTTTCTTAGCAGAGGTGTTATATATTGTTGGTGGGGTGCCCCAGCCAATAGCCTAGCTGCATTATTGTAAGCTAGCTGCAGTTTCTGGATTGCTCAAGAGAAGCCCCACATAGAGTGCACTGCAGTAATCCCGTCTTGAGAGTTCCTGATGCCTGGATCACAATAGTCATAGCTGTCTCGCCAGATGAAGCTGATAAAAGGTGCTCTCAGACACTGAGGTTACCTGTGCCTCCAGCGACATATATGGATCTAGGAGTACCTTTGCTGAACCAGAACTGAGGGCAGGGTGGGGGGTGGCAAAGAAGTGAGTGCTAAGTTCAAGATCCTGGTTCTGGTGTAGAAAGCCCTCTACATTGTGGTACCAGGATACCTGAAAGATCATCTCATTTCTTACATACACAATTGATCACTGCTCTGCAGGTGAGGGACTCCCACAAATAGCCTCTTATCAGGTCTGTTCTGCACAATAGCTGAATTGGGCTTTTAGCATTGTGGCACCTCCCCTTTGGAATGCCTTCCCCTTGAATATTGGGTAACATCTCTGTTGTTGTTTTTATGGCGCCTACTGAAGACCTTCCTCTTTCAACGAGCCTTTTAAGTTGAGCTCTTTCCGAGTCTGAATCTGTGCTGGAATAGTTTTAAATATGTTTTGTATTGTTTTATCTCGTACGCTGCCCTGGGCTCCTTTGGGAGGAAAGACGGGATAGAAACGTAATAAACAAACAAACAAACAAACAATTTTTAAGAGTAAAAGTGAGGGAGGAGAAAAACCCACTCCTCCTGCTATGACAGCCTTATGTGACTTCTTGAACAATGTCCTATCTGTTTTTTCCTCTCCCTTCAGGGTGCTCATTCTAGGTTTGATCGAGCTTTCTTGGAACACGTACCCGTCAACAGTTTACAGCTCCGCTGCCCTCCATGTTTGCCACGCCATCATCCTTCTGCAGCTGTGGTACGGGACGGAGCCCTCCATGGCCCCCCAGGAAGTAAAGAAACAGCCTTTGAAAAAGGCTGAGTGAAAACTGCACAAGAGGAGCTTCCCACAATGAGAGCATGAACAAGATGGTCCAGGCATGGATGTTGCTCTGGGTCAGATGCTGATGGACCACTTCCATTCCCTCCTGGGAGGACCTCTTGCTCAAGTGTAGGCACTGCCTCCTAGCCCAGAAGGGGGTGGTGTGTGGATGGGAAAGAGTACAATCTGCATACCTGCTGGTGGTAATGTGGAACAGCTTAAATAAAATCAGCCAGGGCTTGGCGTGAGGCCTCTTGCCTCCGTATTTTGACTTTTGTCTCGTGGCTGCACTTCATTTGCTTTTAAAGCAAGCTTCTTGGCCTTTTAAACGTGGATAACATTTGAGAACAGGTGGACGTAAGGTTGTATCCAACACCGTCCCATTAGTGCAAGGACTTCCGCTCGCGCAATGGAACTGCCCCTCCCTCTGCTCCCCCCCATGCACCCACTAAAGCTGTTCTGTAGATTTTCCCCAACTCTCCTGAGCAAATTAGCGGGCAAGGGGTGCACAGAGACAGGAGAGGGAGGGGAAGTTCGGTTCTGCAAGTGGATATCTGTGCACCAACGGGATGACTTCATCTGATACAACCCTAAGTAGCACAGTCTTGGTACGGGGGTGAGCTGTGAGCAGGAATAGGAGTGTTGCTTTTTACTGGGAATAAGCTAATTTTCTGCTGTGGTGGAAGGAGAGCCTTTCCCACTCATTTCAGCAGTCAAGGCTGTGCAAAACAGGCTTGCGATAACACTCCCTGTGGGGGACAGCACACCTCTCTCTCCCCTTTTTGGACATAATCAGGCCAACCCAATAGACCAGGGTAATCAAGAGACTAGCCCTGGCTCTCTATGGGAACTCAAGTGTCAGTAATTTTGGAGGTATCTGGAAAAAGCATTGCTGTTGTGGACACAGAGTCACCCAAAGACCTGGGCAATGAAAGAACACGCTGCTGCTCTAGACTCTGATCGCATCTCTTTATTGGCACCCGCAACCAACGGCCTGGCCTGCTCACTACTCCTTCACACGTTGTTTGGGTTGTAACACAGCATGTTCAGCTTGATATTCTCATCCCAGTGGCGGAGCAGCAGGAAGAGTTGACGTGCTGCCCCTTTGAGAGCGGCGACATCCACACCTTCTGGCAGCTGCTGTGCCCGCAGCCAGGAATCGGCCTTGGCTGCCAGCAACTCCCACTCCACAAAGAACCCGGCACAGCGGTGCTCCAGCCAGGCCAAAGCCACAGCTGTGGCCCAGCTCATGCTCTCCAGGTCCCCTTCCTCTGCATCTGGGCACATCTCCTGCAGGCTGATGCTCACTTCAGAGGCATCCGGCGAATGGTCGCAGGCGTCGGTCTCGGAGCCACGCCCGCTGTCTGCCTGTGCCCACACGGCAGCGCTCAGCACATCTGAGCAGGTGCTGTGTGAGTGTGGCGATCCTGGCTCCACCGCTCCCTCCTTGCTCATTCCAACTACTTCACCGCCATCCGGGGAAACCTGGTTTGCTGTTAGCCTTGGGCTGGCCTTGGCTATGAGTGCCCAAGGGGAGGTGCTGGAGGCAGGGCTGAGGCTGGCACGGTGGGAGGCGTAGGGAGAGGCCCGGCGCAAGCGGTCCAGTGGGATCTGAACGACCTCCGAGAAACAGTCGGTCAGCTGGAACATGCCGGGGGCCTGCTGCAGCCGCACCTGTTACAAGGGAGAAGTTGGATGTGCATTTAAGCCAACCCTTAACAGTTCAGTGGGAAGTGCTTCTGTGCAAGTTCAAAGCTGTTTTGCAACTCCCTTTCATTTGAGAAGGCTTGTGCAGCAGAGATTTTTATGGGTTGTGCCAAGGCTAGGGAACCTTTAGCCCTCCAGATACTGCTGGACTACAACTCCCATCATCCCTGATCATACACACTGCTGGCTGAGGGCGATGGGAATTGTAGTTGGGAACTACATACTCTTCTGGTTCATTCAGAACAGTCTTATTTGTTCTATCATAGCAATGATTTTATCTGTTATATAATTGCATATTAAACTGTTGAAACCTGCCCTGGGGCCTTATAGTGAAGGGCAGGGAAGAAACCTTATAAATATAATTAAAAGTCCAGCAGAAATCACATAAGATGGGCAACCAATGTGGGATAAAACGATGCTGCAGTGATCTAGGCAGTGGAAATGGAGAGGGGAAGAGAGGCTTACCAGTGGGAGATAGTCCTGAATGGCACTGTCACAAGAGGAGAGTTCGCTTTCAGGGGTCAGACACTGGGGACGCAGTGCCAGGCCTTGACCCCGTCGCCGGCTGATGCTGAATCTGCAGAGACCAGAGTCACCCAGGTGAAATGTCATGTGATGTCACCAGTTTGTTCGATCAGGCTAGGGACTCTTATAGTGCAGCCTTCTGTTTCTTACAGTGGCCAAGCAAAGCTGGATGGGCCAAGCAAAGCATCTGGTATACTGCCTCCATTCATAGGGGTAGTTCTCAATGGCTCTTAACCTTGATAAGACTGGGTCCTGCATGCACTGAGAAAGATGGACTGCAGGCCAGCTTCCTCTAGCCCATGCCAGGTTAACTGTAGCAGAGTACAAAACTGTCCTTTTTGGTGGAGCCTTCCACCCTCCCGTGTGGGGCTCTATATATAATGGAGGTGCTCAAGCATGTTTATATTAGCAGGTACAGGGTGGGTTGGAGGGTGTGGTTTTCCTCTCTAGGAAGGATTATCTTTTGAAGCTTTAACAGGCTTCAAATGTGTTGTAAAACCCCAAATGCTGGGTGGAAGACAATAACATTACTCATAGAAAATAGAGCTTCAGCATCTCTGTTGCTCCACAAAGATCTAGTAGCGGAAGCAACTGTGTCTTCTGTCATGATCCTTCCCTGCTCTTTCCACCTTATCGAAGACCACAAAACGCTCTGGACTGGGTCTTTCTCAGTTACGTATTTTGTACAGCACCTAGTATGTAGATGGTGCTAATATTTTAGACGATAAGGGAGAGTTTCCAGAGCTAACTCAGCTGGGAACTTGTAGAGAATACCTACAGTGAATTCTCTGTTGATCCTAAAAAAGATGATAAACTCTTAAGGATTACAATTGGTGTTGCATGATATTGCGAACACTCTCAGAATGGTTGGTCAAAAGAACGACCTTCCTGCAAAATAGCCTGTTGCATCTCCCAGCCTTAGAAGACTCACCTGGAGCCCACAAAGTTCTCCATTGATTTCTGGGAGCCCACAGAGACAGGAGAGGGACTGGAATCGACACCTAGACCAGAAAGGAAGCAACTGGTTAGGAGCTGCAAAATAGCAAACAGAGATGGAGACCAGTGGTGCCCATGGGGACTGGTGGGGGTGGAAGGCATGGTGACTGAGAGAATGTGGAGCCACGGCCAATGCCAGGCAAAGCCAGCCAATTCTAGGTTTGTCCAAATCCTCCTCTGAGTTTTACAAAGGCAACACTGACTCGAAGAAGGAAGTTGACAGCCAGTGCTCTAGACTGTAAGTCAGAAGTCAGGCAGGAGGGGACTGGTTGAGGGCAGGCTGAGGTTGGTGTGGCAGTACCCTATTTGTTCTAATAGACCAGCCTTCACTGATTGAGACCACACAGCTTTACTTCCACAGGGCTGGCTATGGTAGCGGCAGCTTTATTGGCAGGGCTGCATCTTAATGCCATTTGCTTAGGATCTCCCAATTGATGCACAGCAAAGCTCTTTATTCTCTCCCTGTAGCAAAAGCAAAATAAGTTACAGAAGGAAAGCAAAAGTACACAGAGCACAAAACCCCACTTTTAGTGCTGTAGAACTTGATTTTGCCAATGTGGTGCAGTGGTCAGAGAGTTGGACTAGGACTTGGGAGATCAGGGTTCAAGTCCTGAGCCATGAAGCTCGTGGAGTGACCTTGGGCCAGTCACTATCTCTCAGCCTAACCTATCCCACAGGATTGCTGTAAGGATGAAATGGGGAATGGAAACACTCTGTGTGCTGCCTAGAGCTCCTAGAAGGGAAGGTGGGAGAGAAATGATATAAATAAATAGGGGTAGAGTTTGTGGGCTCTTGCGTTCATCCTTTCTCTCCTGCAGATTAAATTATATCTGGTCTTCTGAGCAGAGCAGTTATATGACAAGGGGTACTTGTCTTGCATTTGTCCTGATTTGCTTGTGAAGCATTTATATATCTTCCGGTTAGGCATTACCGTATTTTTCAGACTATTGGACGCACCGGTCCATAGGACGCACCTAGATTTGGGGGGGGGAAATAAAGGCAAAAAAAAAATTATTCCCCCCCCCCGCCAGGCGCGGGGCTGGGGCGGGGAAGCCCGAGCTTCCCCCTCCCCCAGAACGGGACCCAGAGCCATGCCGAAGCTGCGCGCAGCTTTGGCATCGCTCTGGGAGCTTGCGGGGGTGGGGGAGGAGGAAGCCTTCCGCCAGCCTCCAAACCATGTCGGGAGACAGCGGGATGGCACGCTGCGCCTCTCCCGCTGTCCCCTGAGTTTGCGGGGCTGGCGACGGGGAGGAGCAGGCTTCTCCCCCCGCCAGCCTTCTAGCCAAGTCGGGGGTCAGCGGGAAAGGCGCGCTGCGCCTCTCCCGCTGTCCCCCGAGCTTGTGGGGCTGGCGGTGGGGCTCTCCTGAAGCCTGGAGGTTGTGGGGCTGGTGGGGGGGAGAAGCAGGCTTGCTTCTCCCACCCCCAGCCTCCAGATCAGGTCGGGGAATAGCGGGATGGCGGAGCACTGCCATCCCGCTATTCCACGACCTGATCTGGAGGTTGTGGGGCTGGGGGGGGGGAGAAGCAGGCTTGCTTCTCCCACCCCCAGCCTCCAGATCAGGTCGGGGAATAGCGGGATGGCGGAGCGCCGCCATCCCGCTATTCCACGACCTGATCTGGAGGTTGTGGGGCTGGGGGGGGGGAGAAGCAGGCTTGCTTCTCCCACCCCCAGCCTCCAGATCAGGTCGGGGAGCGCTGCCATCCCGCTGTTCCCCGACCTGATCTGGAGGTTGTGGGGATGGTGGGGGGGGGGAGAAGCAGGCTTGCTTCTCCCCCCGCCAGCCTCCAGATCAGGTCGGGGAATAGCGGGGTGGCGGCTCTGCGCCTCCCCGCTGTCCCCAGCTTTTGGGTGCAGGCTGCTGCCCGCAAGCCTTGCGAGCCCGCGGGACATCCCGCCGGGCTTGCAAGACTTGGGATAGCTTCCTGAAGCCTGGAGAGCGAGAGGGGTCGGTGCGCACGGACCCCTCTCGCTCTCCAGGCTTCAGCAAAAGCCTGCATTCACACCATAGGACGCACACACATTTCCCCTTCATTTTTGGAGGGGAAAAAGTGCGTCCTATAGTGCGAAAAATACGGTAGTTCATCCCACACTTTTCAGTGCATTTCTCCACTTTCCAAACTGCATAAAAACTTGCTTTTAAAAAAGTGGATTTGTTGCACTAGGGTGATAGAGCCCTTTAAACCACTTTAATTGCACAAACCTAAGTTTGTGGTGTGTGCTTGATAGATTTAGGCACCCTAAATCTAATTAAAGCAGGCATCCCCAACCTTCAGCTCTCCAGATGTTTTGGACTACAATTCCCATCATCCCTGACCATTGGTCCTGTTAGCTAGGGATCATGGGAGTTGTAGGCCAAAACATCTGGAGGGCAAAGGTTGGGGATGCCTGTATTAAAGCACATGGTTTAATGCAGCCTCTCTAGATCCTTCACACCCTCCAAACTCTGCTGTAAGACTTACCATCATGACAGTTCTGCTTTTCTTGGTTGACAGAAGTGACACTAACAGGAAAAGAAGGAATCTCTTCTCGTTCTAGGAAGTAAAGAAAATTCCCGACATCAGACTAACAACTGATACAACCTGCAGAGAACTGGAGGGAAGTCGGGGGCATTCAATCTATTATTTTGTTAGCTGGCTATTTTATCCATTTATATACTGCTTCATTGTAATAAAACCTCTAAGTGGTTTACAAGAAACAACAACAGTATCTAACTAGTTAATGGCAGCTGTACGAGATCAAAGCAGACTCCCACAGAATATAAGGACAGAAAGAAACTGCTGCGAATCAGAAGCTGAAATTGGGTTGCTCAAAGCTCATGCTGATCCAAAAGAGCAGGGGTGGGGAACTTCCAGCTTAACAAGGCCTGCCAGACCTCCCCATGTGGCCCAAGAGAATATTTTGGCTAAACCATGCCCACCGGTGCGGAACTTTGCAAGTCCTGGGAATCAGCTGCAAAAGCAGGTTACCTGATGCCACTGGTGCCATTATACCTAAGAGGAAGACTTCTGGTCTTTTGTTAAACATTATCTTGAACAATTTTTAAAATTCATTATATATGAGGTCCCAAAAGTTTTTTATTTTCTTGCAACTCCACCACTTGTCAAACTTGGCCCACAGCGGGTAGGGGAAGTAAGAATCCGGCCCACCAGCCATATTCCAATTCCCACCCCTGCAAAAGAGAGTTCTGTGATCAGTCAATAGTGGCAGGGTGGGACTGATACTGCTATATCAATAAGTGTGTTAAAAGGACCTGTTCACAGGAAGACAGGAGGCTGCATTAAGCTGAGTCAGATTGTTCCTCCACCTAACTCAGTACCATCTAGACCAGGGGTTCCCAAACTTGGGTCTCCAGCTGTTGTTGGACTACAACTCCCATCATCCCTAGTTGGCAGGACCAGTGGTCAGGGATGTTGAGAGTGGCAGTGGATCTCCAGGGTCTCAGGCAGGGGAATCATCAGTCTTCCAATGTCCTAACTAGAGATGCCAGGACTGAACCTGGGACCTTCTTCATAGAAATCAGAGGGGCCACCACTGAGCTATGGCCCTTCCCCAGCTATGATGCCTCCAAATGATCAGGCACTGCTCATGATTCATCTTCAAAAAGGAGCGACATGCTATGTTGGATTGCTGCAGAGAAGGGAGATGTCAAAGGGCTGACACTACCCTATAGAACACATTTTTAACAGGGAGGCTGTACAGCTCTCACTAATCTTTCACAACCAAATCACCCAAGCACTCTCATTGTTAGCAGGTCAGTTTCCTAACGTTCAAACCGCTATCTGCCGTTGCTGGGAAGCAGAGCTATTTTTGCTTTTCTTTTTAAAGGCATATTCACCTCTCCTGCATCACATATAGCTTGGGTTCATCTAGCATTTTTTCCCCCTATGGTGATGCAAATTACACTGGTTCCACTGCTACAACTGATCACTCAATTGGTGTTTAAAGCCTTCTAAAAAGACCTAGGCCCCAAATATTGGAAAGGCCTCCTCCTTCCCTAAAGACCTTCTCAACTCTTAAGGATGGCAGCAGGGGGCCTCTTGGTAGTGTCTCCACTGTCAGAAATTGGGGGATGGAGATGGCTGCCCAGGAGACGGCATTCTCTGCAGCCACCTCTAAATCATGGAACTCCCTCCCCACGGAGGTACGTTGGTACCTTCGCTAAAAAAGCTTTTGCTGAATGCTGAAGACGTACCTCTTTACCCTGGGCCTTTGACACCGGAGAAGTATAGCGTTATGAGTTTGGGGTGTTAAGTGGTATGTCAGATCCCACTAACCCCTGTATCCAGCAAGTGTTAAAATCTAATCAAGTCTTCTAATTCCTGAAATAGCCAGGTTAGCCTCCTGGTGAGGCGTAAGGAGAACAAAGGAGGGGCCTCTGTGGGAGATGGCAAATGGGTGCAGCCTTTCCCTCAACTTGTGGATAGTTAGAAAGACAGAGCCGAAATTTAGAGTTGAAATAGTTGCAGTGATATGGGCAGATGTAAAGCAGCAAGCTGGGAGAAGACAGAGAAGCAGAGCAATGCTGGATGTCTGTTTGAATCCAGGGCTGTGGCTGTGGGAGAGGAAAGACCCTTTTGGGGTGCTAATGCTGTGGATTCCTCCATCGTAGGCTCAGGTTGTATATATGTGTAAATAAACCACATATCCTAAAGACACCACAGTCTCTGCTGTGCTTCATTCCCAAAGGAAACACAAACCCTGGGTAAGCACCTGGAACCCCTGAAATCTTGCACTGCTCGGAGACCGGAGTGCAAAATATTTTTGGGCCCTATTCTTTTGGTTTAATTTGTTTTAAACTGATTTTAATGTTGTATCTTTAAATTGCTATAACCTGACCCAGGATCTTGTGGTGGAGGGAGGGTAAGAAATTGAATAATAGTACTACTACTAATAATAGCACTAAATTCCTTGATTTGTATTTGTTTCTCTGCTTCTTCTCCATCTACTGCCTCCCGGGGGTCCTTGTGTCATGTAGATCCTTAGACAGGTGAAGTGACACTAGTACCTGCAGAAACAGGAGCATCATCCAGGTCCTCTGAGTCCTGCCTCCGCCCCAGACCTGCTGAGCAACTGTGTTGACGTCGGCTGCCAGAATAGGATCCTTGCTGGTGGCTGAAGAGGCCCACTGGAAGAAAGCATATTTCATTGGGGTGTTTAGAGATAGTTGTGGGGCCAGCACTGTGTATATTCAGTTGCAGAACAATCTCTTTTTCTCTGCATGGATTTTATTGAGCTAATAATAAATACAGCCTACATTCTGCCGACAGGTATATTCCTGGCTGCCACTGGAAAATATCCCCTCACTCAGCAGCTAGTTCAAGTTGATGCAGTCATCTGCAGCAGGAAAACATGCCACCCTAGATACCTGATGAAACCTGGAATGTACCAAAATTGTATGGTGGAAATGTCTGTAAATATTTGGGCTGCTTTCAGAAGTTTGCTAACAAAGGAAGCTGGTGAAAGCAGCCAGTTTTGTTCTGCAACCCTGCAGTGGAATCTAATTGCTGCTCACTATCATTCCTTCTCAATCCTGATATGTTTAAACAGGCAGGTTAGAGGCTGTAAGCAGCTGGACTCCTGTCTCTTCCAAGGGAGAACAAATGAAGACAGGCTGCTCCAGATTTTGAGCACTTCAGGAAGGAACAGTGGAAGAACATGATTGTGCAATCTGTTGGACAACTGAATTTTTTTAAAAAGTTTCTAGCTCTCATGATAGAATTTTTTCCTCAAAACTAGATCCCTGGTGAATCCTGGGGATTCAAATTCTGACCTAAGAAGCAGAGCTCTGCACATGCACTCCAAGCAGCCCTACCTGTGCTTCGAACCTCAAGGGCAGAGGGCAAGATCTCCTGGGTGGAAGCATCTACAGGCACCACAGAGGTATATATTGAAGGTGTGTTGCAAGCTTTGCTGGACTGGACAGCCTTAATGCGGAATCTTCGTGAGAAACCTTTGGAGGGGCAGAATCACAGGGCTGGTTACAGTGAAGAGGGAAGGGGGATTTGGGATACAGGATAGGCAAAGTTATGTATGCTTGTCTTTAAGCAAGTCTATATTCTTTGCGGCTTCAGAAATGAGCTTTGCAACAAGACCCAAGCCCATATTTAATAACCCGATTCATACTCATCATCTGTTTAAGTAGTCAAATTTGAGGCAGAATGGGCAAGTGAAGGGAAGGGCAGGCTTACCATGTTCAATCTCAGCTTCCCTTTGAGACACATTCTCATTATCCCGGATGACGGAGCCAGCAGTCAAGTGGTGAAGCAGTTTGTCCCAGCCCTTCCTCTGCTGCTGCCACTGAGAAGGCTCCTCCTTGGCCTGGCTGTCTTTGGCAAGAAGCAGGGAATCCAGGGCAGCTGTCACTTCCCAAGAGACCGGTTTCCCCGCACTGAGTCCATGGATCACAACTTGGCACCGGAGAGGCGGCCAGGCGCTGCTGTCACACTCTCCTCGTTCAGTTGCTGGTGATGGGCTGAAAAGGTATGGGGGTTCCAATAGCGTGTCCCAGTCTAGGTGGGCTGGTGACAGTAGGTTGCCTAGGAGAGAGCAAGGCATGGGAATGCACACATGAGGCTCATCAGGTTTTGCAACAGGATAGAGTCTCCCGCAGACAGACATCTCTGGAAGCTCACAAGCACCCAGTTAGGAGTGTACACATCCCCAAGTTTGGCACTCAGAGACTTTCACTTGCCCTGCTGCTTTCCCCCTGGGGAAACCCAATCTTCACTGATGAATTGGAGCAAATGATGTCAATCAGGTTTTCTCCAGATTGACGTTTGCTCTGATTTGGCACTGAAGATTGGGTTTCTGGGGGAAAGTGATGGGGCAAAGGGAAAACGGCTCAGACCACCTCAATCCCTCAGAAAGGGAAAACCACCTCAATCCCTGTTTTCTAGGCATGGGACAAGTGTGGAAGAGCCTTTAGAATCCACAATAGCTGGTATGACAGGAACCTTTGCAAGTGAAGGATCCAAGAGTGCCTTCAACAGTTATTTACAGCAGGGATGGGGCCCTTCAGATGTTGCTGGACACCAACTCCCATCAGCCCCAACCAGCATAGCCAAAGGCCGGGGTGATGGGAGTTAGAGTCCAAGAGCATCCAAAGGGTTGCAGGGTCCCAGTCCATGGATTATAGCAAGGCAGTTGCTTGCAGACTGAGCATGAGGCATTTGCAACCATATGGGACTCTGCTTCAATGATGGGAAGGTTTTAGTAGCTAAGTCCCAAAGTCAGCAGGAAAGGTGCATTTTCCCCTGCCAACAGAAATGGCACCTGAGCCTGCCAGGACTAGTCTGGCACCTACTGGCTCCAAATCCTGCAAAGTACTCTCCCCAGACTTGGAAGGCTTACAATCTGACCATAATCCCCTTCCTGATAGACGAGGCCTGCAGTCTTCGCTCTTCTGGACAGCCATCTGCACTCTACACAATGCTGGCCAGCTCTGTTCCTGGTCACAAAAACCTTGACATTCAGCTTGTTCTGAGACAGACTTTGGGCTTGCCCTGGTCCAGGTAACTCCCCAGTCAAAGGTGGGTATGGAAGGAAAAATCACCACAAAAACAAACAAACCGCTTTACAGATGGACGAGACCTTCTTCTAAGTCCTGCCAAGTCTTGGAGCAGGGAGGGGATGATACAGATATATCAAGACGGGTTTCAGGCAGAGAAAGAAGAAGAAGAAGAAGAAGAAGAAGAAGAAGAAGAAGAAGAAGAAGAAGAAGAGGAGGAGGAGGAGGAGGAGGAGGAGGAGGAGGAGGAGGAGGAGTTTGGATTTGATATCCCGCCTTTCACTCCCCTTCAGGAGTCTCAAAGCGGCTAACAATCTCCTTTCCCTTCCTCCCCCACAACAAACACTCTGTGAGGTGAGTGGGGCTGAGAGACTTCAAAGAAGTGTGACTAGCCCAAGGTCACCCAACAGCTGCATGTGGAGGAGCGGAGACGCGAACCCGGTTCCCCAGATTACGTGACTACACCACACTTAACCACTACACCACACTGGCATCCCCAGCTCTACCTGGTGATCTTATGGGATTGAACGTGGGACCTTCTGTCACTGAGCTACAGTGCAGAACTGGAGTGGGGGATAAACTAACAGGGATGTTAGTAATTTGCATAAGACCTAAGTGGGAAGAATAACCAACACCAAGATGCCACCCCCTGCAGATGGAGGAGGACCCTCAATAGCTGGCCCACATGCAAGTCTCAGTGACTCTTGCTCTCTCTCGTCTTGCATGCGGCTTCTTGCCCCCTCTGCTCTCCCAACAGGAGACTTCCACGTTCTTCCCCACCACTCACTGGAATCAGCAATGCTTCTGCGCATCTTCTGCAACTCTGGCCCAATCTCATCCAGTTTCCCTTCCAGAGAACGGTTCCGCTTCTGGGACACCTTTTCTAGGGCTCGGCGCAGCCGATGGGCATCCAGCTCACCATGTGGGGAGGAGAAGCTACGTCCAGACAGAGCAGCTCGGGCCAAGGCCTTCTTCCTTCGCGCCAGCTCCTCGGAGCTCAGGGCCACAGACACCTAAAGAGAAAAGGAGGGCGAGAAGGTCAATGCTGGGAAAACTCTAAGGAAGCATGTCAAAAATCATTGTAAGATCTAATGCCGGGCCTACTGCATCTCTACACCTGAGGAATAGTCTTCCATTCTCTCCCTCTCACACACACAGCTCTTCCAAACAACCAGTTTATGGAACATTCATCCTCATTTTCTTGCAGGGCAGTTTGAAAACATGGGCTATTGAATAAGCATTCATTCTGATTTGTCTGCAGGCAGGTGAGACAACATTGTATCAAGGAAGTGTTACTCCAGGCTTTCAATTTCATGTTGTCATTACTTTCCTTATCACAAAAAGTCTGTGTGCGTTTTTGGCGGGGGGGGGGGGAGTGGGGAGTGGGTTTGTTGCACAAGTGCTCCCAATCAATTATAATTGCACGACTGGAATGTGCCAATATATGGTTGAATCCCACCTGAAAATAGCAACAGTCTGGAAGGACCCATAATTATGAAGGACTTTTCAAATTACAGTACACCAAAGGATACTCAGAAAGGCTGAGACCTTGGTTCTGGAGTTTTATCGTGGGAGGCCTAAGTTGTCCAGTGCTGATTTGACACTTACATTACAAAGCCAACTGAATTTACGTAAGAACGTAAGAAGAACCTGGCCCATCGAGTCCAGCATCTTGTTCTTGCAGTGGCTAACCAGATGCCCCTAGGAATCCCACAAGCAGAAGCGCACTCTCCCCTTCCTGTGGTTTCCAGCAACTGGTATTCAGAAGAATGGCTTTCTCTGAGTGTGTCAAAAAGACTCATGTCTGAAAATATTTGTGAATTTGTTTTGTGTTAAAAGGCTGCAGAATAGCCTTTAAACTAACCCCTGGGGGAAAGGGGAAAGGAACTGGGAGGGTGTCTGGGTCAGGACGACTCATTGTTTCAATTGACTGGGAGCCTTTTTAAAGAGGTGGCAAAAATGCTATAAATAAGCTAATAGAGGATGAGGGTGAAAATGTTTCTGACCACCCAGCTGGGAATACCTCCACCTAAAAATAGGAAGAATGGGAAATCTCCCTTTACATTTCCAATAGAAGATTTGATCCTAGAAAAAAAGACCCAAAGTAGTATAAAGCAGCAGGCATCTTTCAAAGCCTGCTGGGTGCTGTGGAGTGGTGGGGACCTGAAATGCCTCACCTTAGGAGGAGCAGCGCCAGACGGAGCCTGGGAGACGGGGGCAGACTTGGTGGAGGAATTGCCCAGGGAGACACTCTTCTGGCCTTGCTGTGAGCTGCCTTCGAGAGCCTGAGCTAAGGACCCTCCCTCTGGAGGGACATCTCTGGAGCCCGTGGACTCGCTGCTGGTGGAACTGTGGGAGAGCAAGCCGTGGCTGTGGTCGGTGCTGACTGAGCAGTGAGTGAGCACATACTGTTCCTTGATGTAGGAGGGCTGGTAAATCCGCTTCCAGATGTCTCCTCCGGACACAGGATCCCCACCTGCCAGGGAGAAGAACGCAGAGGCACTGGCATGGAGAGCTCCATAATATACCGAGGCACAATTATTATTGTTGCTGGTTACATTTGCATACTGCTCCTCATTCGCAGATCGCAGGGTGGTTCACACCATAAAATCACAATATAAAAACCATAAAATACATAGTAAAAATAAGAACAAACCAGTAACTCCCCTCTCTAACAACACATTTAAATGGGCATCGAATGTCAATTGGCTAAAGGCCTGGTTGAAAAGGGAAATTTTAGCCTGGCATCCACTGGAGATGTCAAAGAGTGAACCTGGGACCTCCTACATGCAAAGCAGTGCTGTGGCAAAGAGCTCTGGCCTCTCATCACTCCTCAACTGACCTCCACCATTCAAAAAGGAACAGTGGTCAGGGCCAGTCAGGGCTGATAGGGTGGAAGGGAGCGAGTTCAACAGTAGGCAGAGACACAGCCAGGACAGGTGGAGCCAACTCTATTTTATTTCCACTTTCCCACCACTGTCTTCCCAGCTGAGTTCTACGAGGGTCAAACTGAGACTAAGGAGGAGGAAGCAGACACCCAGGGCCACCCTCTGGACTGGTTATGTGTAAAAAAAGTCAGTGGGCTTGGAGGAATCAAGACGCAGGTCACACCCGCAGCACACATTTAAAGCACCTACAAGTACATGGCTTCCATCACAGAATTCTGGGGATGTAGTTTAGCCTCACAGAGCTATAGGTCTCAGCACCCTTAACAAACTACAGTTCCCAGGATTCTTTGCAGGAAGCCATGTGCTTTAAATGTACAGTGTAGATGTGACCTCAGGTTGTTTGGGCTGAAGTGAAGAGTGCCCTATTCCCCCCTGTGGACCAGACTGCAGAGAATGGGAGGAGCGGATCACTGCTTAGTAGGTCTGGAGCAAAGATTGTTGCTCCATTCCCAGACAGTCCTAGAGGAAAGAACTGAAAACAAACGCCATCCCACAAAGTTCTACTTACTTTTCATAGACTCCTCAGTGCCCCCAGCAGAAAACTCCAGAGATATCTCACGGGAAATTTCATGAAGGGCTCGGCAAATTTCTTGACTCTCCCCAGCTGGGTGTGGATGGGCTCCTTCCAAACCAGTTGCCTCCTCCTGGGACTGGAACACTGAACCTGCAGAGCCCCTAGATAGACTCCGGCACAACGGCTCTCTGCCCTGGGGAAATAAGGCAGCCAAACTTTAAGGAAAGCAGATGATTGCAGGCATATTTTAAAAGGCTCTGTTCTGAGGGGGACGAAGGAAACAATCGGCAAAAAGGCACCTTCTCCTCCAGCCAAGGCTTTCTGCAAGTGGCTACTGGAGCCAGGCACAATATAAACGCAGGTCCTGTTTCCCACAGCAGGGGGAGCACACTTTTTAGGGCAGGGCTGGGGAATGGTTTTCAGCCTGAGAGCCATATTCCCTCTGGAGGAGGCTGTCTGTGGTGTTAATACATCACAGCCAGGCAAAAATTATCTCAAGAGGGTGTGCAGCAGGGCCTGGGGAGAGTCCCAAGTTCCAGAAAAAAAGGCCTGCCAGGGCACATTCCACCCCCAAGCCCAAGTTTTAAGGGAATGGGTGCTCAACTGTTGCCTTCTTGTCCCGGAAACTGGCAATGTGGTAAAGAGTGCAGTAGCTGATGAGTCGGTCTCCTGGATACAGAGCTGCGATCTCATTGGGCGACAGCAGGGCCTCCATGGTGTCTGGCACATACCAGTCTATCGTGATGTCACTCACAGCCGGTTCAATTGCTTTTTTCAAAGACTTTATCAGCTGGAGAAAAAACCAGAGATATTCAGCAGCACTCGCATCTCTAACAGCTTGTCGCCATATTCTAAGGACGGATGAGAAATTTGATCAAGTTTGTATTTAAAGGCCAATCTATCAAATTTGTACTTTCCAGAACAATACGCAAACTGAAACAGCCATCCTTTGACATGTGCACTTATCTGAACTTTGCAATGCAGTTCTTCCACCAACCAGTATTTACCAAACTGCAAATGTTAGGAGAAAGTGTGCATAAAAAGATATTGGTGAATATAACGTACAAAAATGTATTGTATGAGGGGAAATTACTTGCAGAAATAAGTGCAGGAGTCAAGACTGCACATAAAAAAGGTGTTTATTGGGAGAAATTCACACAAAACAGGGATGCATTTTCAAGAGGGTTTTTAAAAAATAAATAAATAAAAAGTCTGGAAATTTCTGCAGAAATGTGAAGATTCGAAAAACAAGGAAGTGAAAGAACAGAAAGTGACAGACCTTTCAGGAGGCAATATCCTGAAAGATGGCTTGGCTGCCAACACTGTCTCTGCATGGATTCTTGAACAGCAGGATAATACTACACTGCTGCCTGGACCCTTCATAGCTGCGCACGCCTGTGTTAAATTGTGATTGTACTAGTGTGGACATGGCACATAACTATTGAGCACAGGTGACCACCAAAGTCAAAAATACCAACAATGAAGCAGGACAGCACATACCTTGGGCTGCAGCCTTTCACTAGGGCTTAGGAATTCAGCCCGACCTCTGCTCACCTTTGCCAGTCCGCGCAGGAGCCTACGGCAGGCACCAGAGCCCAGGCCAAAGGTAAAACACCTGTGGGAAAGAAGTCCTTGAACCTCAGACCACGCAGCCTGCTTCATTCTGTTCCATACTCTATTAGGATGTGCACTGCCAAGCCATGGCGCAGCGCTCTGAGCTCAGCAGACTGCACCGAAGTCTTCATCTCTTTCATACTTTCTTAAAGCACTTTACTTCCCATAAAGTATCGTGGGAATTGCAGTTTGTTATGGATTCTGGAAACTGTAGCTCTTAGTAGTAAACTACAGTTCCCATGATTCTTTGGGGGAAAGTCATGTGCTTTAAATATATGGTGTGTGTGCAGCCTGTGTAAGAGGTTTGGCAGCTAGAGAGCCAAGGCTGAGAGGCAGAGGCTTGCTTAGGGTCACCCAGACAATTAATGGCTGGGGAGCAATTTGAACACACAAATCCAGTTATGACTACAAGTGTAAATACATCTGCAACATTCTAACACCAGTGGGGGTGGCCTGGAAGTGCCCTCTACTGCATTCAGCACAAACACACCTTTCTTCTGTACCAGATTGAGTCTGGCAAATGATTCTGCAAGTTTACAGTGCAAATTCAGTGTGAGATAGGGAAACATTGGCTGTAGAGGGTGCTTATTGGCTAGTTCTCATAATAGATGGCTGACCAGGGCTGGTTATAGGGAGCAGATGGCTCCCTTAGTAGAACATCTCCACTAGCTACCCGTCTGTTTCTGGGCACAATTCAAAGTGCTGGTTATGACATATACGAAGGAACTTTTTTATAGTCAAACCTAACTATGCATATCTACGCTGGTTAGCAATCAATTCTAGTTTGTGGAATGCCCCCTACAATGATAGATTCGAACTAACTCTACTGTACACACATTTTAAAGAGCTTTTAGGGGCAGAAGCTCTAGGTCCTCAATAGCTGCATGGCAGGCAGAAATCAACAGGTGAAACCATAATGGAGGAGCAGTCGGCTAGCGTGCATAGAAGTTAACAGCATGAGCTGGAAAGGATAGGAATACTGATCAATGTTATAGTGTTGCTGCAAAGATTACTGAGATAATATATGTGAAGTTCTTTGAACGCTTGAAAGTGCTATTTAAATGCTAAGTATTATTGATTATTGCAAATCATGAGGCTATTAGTAGCACAGAGCTTCTGTGCATAATAAAGACCGACCCAGATCCAGCTCTCTTTATTTAATGGATGATACTGCCTCTCCACTTTTCAGCATACAGCAGAGTACTTTACTCTATCCAGGTCTGTAGAGAGGACCTCTTGCACACCAAGGTAGAATTGGAGATCTATGAAAGGCCAGTTCACCCCACTCCATACCTGACACTGCTCGCGTGTCTCCTGACCAGCTCAATGACCTTGCCTGTGTTTCCAACACTGGCATCCATAAATATAAAGAGCTGCCGAGGATACCCGCGGTGAAGAGGGAGCCCCAAGATCCAAGTCAGAGCAGCCAGGAGGTTGGCTCCACCCATGTCAGACCGCAGCTTCTGAATGTATTCACAGGCCAGCCTGAGGGTTTCCTGTACACGGGAGAGATGAGTGGATTATGGAGACAGCAAACAGACTGAGCCAGACTTCTTGCCATAAAGCAAGCTCTCCACCACCACAGAACATTATGACTTCCGCCTCTGTGGCTCATAATTCTGCATTCCAGAAAGTGAGATCCTGTGGCCTGAACATGTTGTGGAAATAGCGTGCCAATCAACTCCTGCTACTTACATGCATGAGGATAAGGAACTATAAGGCACAGTACTGATGACAACTAGAAGTCCTTGCTTACTTGCTGCCTGTCTTCTGACATTTTGTCAGGCATTTTCTACACATACGCAAGTTTCTCTCCATATGCAAATTCTTCTCCATAGCCATAAACCTATTTTAAAAACTAGCCAAATCTCCCAGGAAAATGATGACAAATTTTGCTTTTGTGAACCCTGTTGATCTCTCTGCACCCTGCACTCCAACCATAAAACCAATGGCATTTTCAGTTGCCATGAATCCAGAATGCCCTTCCCAGGGAAACTTGCATGGCACCCTGTCTGATATCTTTGGGCACCAGGCTTTTTATTTGCTTAAGCCTTTCAGCACGTCAGCTACCTAGTTTCAATCTGTGTACTTTTATTGCTTCTGTTGATTTTTACTGTTTTATTGCCCTGCTGAATTATTTTATATAATTATGAACGTTATCATTTTATTAATTTGTTAACTGTTCTGAGAATAGCCATCTGAAAAATACTGTGTGTTTTATTCAAGAAATAATCCACTGATCTCATTTGTCCCTTTCTAAGCCATGCTCCTGGACATACCAAGGAGGAATCTGGGAACTTTTTTGGATAAAGCTTGTACTCTAACATTGAGTTACAGCCCTCCCTAATCTTCTTGCCTTCCTGTTTGTGAGTCAGACCGACACACAATTCTGGGAGTCGTAAGTACAGCGATATTAATTCTGCAATTTCACAATCATGCTTAACAAGCTGGCATTTGAAATTGGGGGTGGGCAGAATTCAGCTTCCTGAAAAGATGTGGCCCCTTAACTAAATTTAATGTGGCATAAGGTTTTGTGGACTTCGGCATCTGCTTTAAAAAGGAAAAAGCCTCTAGCATTTATGGTTGGGAAGACAAATCTGAAAATATGTTTGAAATGACTGGTATCATCTCATAAGTGGAGGGGTGAGATGCAAGGGAGGATTTCAAGTGAATATGGGACAGATCCGCAGAACCTGCACAGCTCCTGGACTCTGGCCAACCCAGAATAAACTGGACATAAAAAGCCAGCATAGCAAGTCTGCATGCTTTGCGTAACATACACAGATCACTGAACTCAACTTCTCTTGGCACAGAATTTGGGTCACCTGAGCACAGCAGTTTTATCACAAGGACTGAAGATGACGCAACATGTTCCTCCAAGCACAGAATCAACCCAGGAACCTTCATCTTAAGTCATGGCACACAGGTCAAAAGTCTTCAGTCCGCTAAAGGTTGCATCTCTTCCAACAAAATTTAATATTCTGGATTTAAGGTGATTCAGATGGAGGTCCTGTATTGCAAAAAGGCTGCTCAGGTCTGATTTTGGTCTGTTTTGGACACATTCCCTCTTTTCAGTCATGAATGCTCATTGCTATTCTGCACTGCCATCCACAGCAGTGGGTGGAGCTTGGTGGAATTTTTTGGAGGTGGTTTTATTTGTTTGTTCATCTATTCAATAATTCCTCCCTTCTTCTACTACCTTCTTAAGTTCTAGAAATGCATATAGGTGCTTCTGTACTTGGGCATGCAAACCTTTTGTTTTTCTTGGGGGGGGGGGAATCCCAGGAAGCGAGCAAGACTGCAAAAACAATGGATCAAGGATTTTATTTTATTACTATCAATCTGAACAGTCATCAGCTGAGTGTACATTGTTTCTTACATTTTGTGTGCTTGAAACGTCACAACACCTTCCTTCCTTTCCTTGTAGTACCATCATTGCTTTCCCCACCCCACCCTTTTGGTATGTTATTATATTCGTTTTCATTATATTCATGTAGGGATTTCCCGTCCTACATTTTCCCTATTTATGATTAACTGGGAAAAAATGCAATTAAAAAAATAAATGTTAGAATGATGATGACAACTCATGGCACCATCCCTGCACAATCACAGAGTTCTTGTCGGATCCAGTTAATTGCCAGTTAATAGCTTTGGGGTCAGAGGGGTGGACAAGAAGCCGCAATGGTCAGAATACTCACGCTATTGCAGGGCTTGCTGGTGGTGAAGACCGGCTTGATGCTGGAGCCAAAGCCAGCCACATTCAACAAGGTGCTGGGAGGAAGGCTCTTCACAGCTACCAACAGAGCATCCTGTGCAGAGAGAGAGAGAGAGAATGAGGTGTCCATCCATATTTACCCTTTGCCCTGCTTCTTTCCCCAAGAAAACACTCTCATTAATACTGAATCAGAAGAAATGGCAATGGGAGGTCCAGAGGGTGGGGAAATGAGAACACAATTTTTCTGTGGTGGCTCCCCATTTGTGGATTGGTATCCCCATGGAGGCACATCTGGCACCTTCATTACATATTGTTATGGGCCAGGCAAAAACATCCTGCATTTTAGGAGGCAAGATGGAATGGAGTTTCAATAAGTGCAGAGAGTCATTCTTTCTTGGCAGTGAAGAGAACACAACTCTCTATTCAATGTTCTATTCTTATTTTCTTACAACTGTAGTTCAAGTTTGCTTGGGACACAGACCAGTCTTGGGGTAGTTAGTGGGAATTTTGCTGAGGAGAGAAAAAGCTTGGAGAACCTTGGAGCTGTGTTTGGTTGGAGCAGCACTGTTGGTTAGAGTTGTCTGCCTTGGCATCTTAATTATAGTACTTAACATTTCTGGATTGTTGTGCCTTGAACAGCATCTCCTAATTAACATTCATTATCATCTTTGTGAAAGCTCCATAAGAAAATCGAATAACATTGTACAAAGTATGCAGGTTATATTGAATATAATAGCAGTAGGGGATGTTTTTGTGGGAGAAGTGTTGGAGCCTGTGGCAAGCTTGCTGTCAACCAGGACTCAAAATGCACTTTTAATGAATTTCTGTGTGAGTCGTGGGGCACATGCACTGATGTTAACATTGTCTAATCCACTTTTGGAAGGTTTTTGTGGTGTCCAAAATTTACAGCAAATGTTCATGGCAGACTGGTTTGCAACAGACACACAAAGAAGGGCCTCAGATAGTGATTGCAGGGTCCAGGTTGGCTCATATCCCACACTTTCTTCATCCACAATGCAAAAAGTCTCATCTTCTGGGGAAGCAGGTTTGTTGTGCAAGGCCTCACAATCAACTATAATTGTGCAACCTGAATTTGCCGGATTGTGACCGAATCCTACCCAAAAACAGTATCAGTCTGGAAGCATCCTTTGCAAGAGGACAAGCCTTTCCTTGCTCAGGCTACACTAACAGGAAGGAATAAAATCTTAGACCTTCGAGGAATTCTGAGCAACTTCCCATTAAAGCTGGGAAAACATACATTGTTAAGGATGCCCCAGAGAGGCATAATAATGTGGGAAGATGCTGAAAAAACAATTGTGCATATTCTGCAAATATTCTGGAACTGTTGCTCATAAGGTATGCAAAAATTAGTTTTATTTTACACACACACAAAGCATCTGGAGCATATACCTTGATGCCCATTCAGTAAATATGTCAGGTTCAATCCTTGGCATCTTCAGGCAGGGCTGGTGGAAAACCCCTGTCTGAACCCCAGGCAAGCTGCTGTCAGCCAGTGTGGACAATGCTGACCTAGTATAGCACCAATGGCCCAACTTTCTAAAAGACAGCTTCCCATTTCCCAATGCTCTGTTTACCTTGATCCCATCAATACCAGGGCCACTCTGGTCAATGAGGAAGAGCATTTCCCGAGTGATGGTCTGGAAATCAGTGGAAACGCAGCTGGCCTCAGGGCAGAAATTCAGCATCAGGACAGGATTGTGAAAAATGTCTTTGTGGAACCTCTTCTGGACAAAGGCAACCTAGGAGCAAAGAAAATACGTTGTGGCTTCAACCTTTCCTTCCCAATATCTTTGTATATTATCATGCAATGTGGAGGTTGGCACAGTGCAAATGCACTGGCAGGAGCACCAGAATTTCTCCAGCAGTGTGTGCGCACTGCACTGACTTCACGGTCGCCTTGCCCCATCCCTTCTGTCTCCCATCCCCTCTACCTCCAAGTAAGCAGCAGCAATGTGACCAACCAGAGTTCAGGTGAGCAGCAGCATCCCTACCACACCATTTGCTTCTTGCTCAGCCACCAGGCCAGAGAATTTACAGTTAGAGGAGACAAAAAGCAAGGTATTAAGGTGCTACTGTCTAGGTCCTAGTCATTTCAATCCAACTTGAGACCATCCTTAGACAACCCAGGAAAAAAATTCTCTTCCTAGATGGTTACCTGTCTCTCCCAATCATCTTTTTTGGCAATACGAGCATAATCACGGCGGCTCCTTATTTGTGCCTCGTAGTCTTGATATGAGATAGCACCATCTTCTATGATGAGGTGTGGATGATGAGGTTCTTAGGGGAGGAAAATGTAAAGCTGCATGAGAGTCAGAATGATCCAGTGCACAGACAGCTGGGCTGTTTGGACCTAGGTTCAAAACCAGGTATGGACTCAAAACTGGTGGCCTCAGGCAACTCCCAGTCTCATTTCCACACCTGTAAAATAGGAATAAGAATAACCTCCTCCTTTATGTAGAGGGTCACCAGGAACAGCCCATCAGGTGGCAACTGACACCACATGGAGCAGGTTAAAGTAGCTCCCTTATGATAGATGATTGACATGCACCAATCCTAAAATAAGTATATATGTGGGTTGCACTTTGAGGGCCCCTTCTGATGCTACACAAGCAGCATGGATATTGCTGCAGGGAGTATCTTCTCTCCAGAGGTCACAGAAATAAGAGAATCAGCTCTTTAAACACTACGCAGGTGGTATCTTACCCCACATAATTTGCTATATAGTTGTCTGAATAATCTGCCTAGCTTCATATTTATAATAATTCTGAAACACAGCACCTGGGCTAGTCTGGTTGTTCTTACTTGAGATTTTGTGTTTAGTCCATAACTACCTAAATAAAAATGTCATGATAAAAATAATATATTAAAAAGTCCACTGTTCCCATAAAGCAGAGACACACTAGAGCAGCTCCTATGCCAGGTCTGGCCAAACTTGGCCCTCCAGCTGTTTTGGGACTACAACTCCCATCATCCCTAGCTAACAGGACCAGCGGTCAGGGATGATGGGAATTGTAATCCCAAAACAGCTGGAGGGCCAAGTTTGGCCATGCCTGACCTATGCCAACTCAGAAAGCACCCCAATAGGCATTACAGAAGCTGTGCATGTGTGCTATAAAATAAAAGTTCAGAAATGAATGTCTCTCAGTCGCAATATATTGATGGTATCTGGGTACAGAACTAAAGACCTGGAAGATTAAATTGTTCAGTCCTAAGGCTCCCCAATCGGATATCACCCCTACATTCCCCCCCTTGCAGTGTGTATTATACATTAGCAGAAGGTTCCATTGTTGTAGCGATCGCAGAATCCTTGACTTCAAAGTGTTCTCTTACCACAAGGATACAAGATAATCTCCAGGTTCCTGTCACACCTGTGCTTCTCTGCCAAGGTGATGCATATAGTTGAGGCAGAGCTGGCAAAAGGATTAGCATCAGCCCGAAGAGCGTGGGATGGGCTCTCCAATCCTGCAATAACGAGAGGGCTTTATTGCCTGCTGTAATGTAATAACCTCTAAAGCAGGGGTGGGGGACATTTGGCCCTCCAGATGTTGCTGAACGACAACTCCCATCAGCCTCGCAAACGTGGTCAATGGCCAGGGATAATGGGAGTGTGTCAGATGGAAATAGCTGCATTTGTTTTACAGTACAAAGCAATGCACTGGTGCTCACTTGAAGACTTGGCATCAAGTGATGACTGACATTTGTGGATGAACGAACTTGTACATCAATTAGATCTCAGACATAAACAGAGTAGATTTAAATGGAAACAGCTCACATGTTTGACAGAGAATAATTGCTCGCTGAGTAATGGAATGAACACACACACAAATCTGCCCTTGGAGATTAGATAACAGCAATGCAATAGAGGCATTCTTCTTCCATGCCTCTTCAAAGAATAACCACAGAGCCTAGGATGTGCTGATCAGAAGGTCGGCGGTTCGAATCCCTGTGATGGGGTGAACTCCCGTTGCTCGGTCCCTGCTCCTGCCAACCTAGCAGTTCGAAAGCATGTCAAAGTGCAAGTAGATAAATAAGTACTGCTCTGGTGGGAAGGTTAACTGCGTTTCCGTGCGCTGCTGTGGTTCGCCAGAAGTGGCTTAGTCATGCTGGCCACATGACCCGGAAGCTGTACGCCGGCTCCCTTGGCCAATAAAGTGAGATGAGCGCTGCAACCCCAGAGTCGGCCACGACTGGACCTAATGGTCAGGGGTCCCTTTATCTAAGGTGGCTAACACAGTAAATTTAAAAAAAAATCTTAAAAATCAAAACTATATATTGGGGGGGGGAACCAAACCTAATCTAACAGCAGCAAAACAGTGACAAAAAACTTCATCCTCCTCCATCTCCAGATATTTATCTAAATAATACTTGTTTAAAAAGAAGTTTCAGTATTCAGCATCTTTACAATCTGTTTTCACTAAGAATAAATTGCTGGTCCCTATGGCTGCAAAGACGAAGCACTGCAGTGAGTGTTCAGTGTAACTCAGGAGCCAGAAGAAGGCTGTAAGATTTCTAGTGCTCAGGGTGTGCTCTCTGAGTTGCAGAAGAATGAGAAAAAAGCAAGCAAATGTGTAAATGTGCAGAATTGATAAAGGCCCTTTCTTCAGCACAAACTTGTTTGGAATTGTGTGTTTTTAATAGCCATGTCCAAGGAAACACACAGCCCAGGGACTCTCACTCCCGACCTGAAGGTCCCGCCAATTCGCCCTCTCTTACCTACAGCTCTTACAGAATTCAAACCGCTCTTTAGCAAACCGTTCCAAAATGTATAAAGGTTTCAATACTGTGGTCTCAACACTAATCCAGCACAGACTTATTTAAAAGAATATACAGTTAGGGCTCACCAACACTTTCTGCTTGTCCCGTGCCTAGAAAGCAAAGGTCTAAGCAGTTTTCTGCTTGACCTGAGCTTTTTAGGCATGGGTCTGAGCAATTTTGCCTTTGACCGGCTGCTTTCCCCCAGAAAACCCACTAATTAGTGGTAGATTGGAACGAATGGCAATCTGCGGGAAAACCCGATTGCCATTTGTTCCGATTCAGCGCTAAAGAACAGGTTTCTTGCGAGGTGGGGAAGCAAAAGAAGGTGTGGATAAGCCTTTATATATCTTACACTAAGGCACATACCTGCCAGCTTATCTGCACTGCTAGATAAATGGAGCTAGATAATTTTTCAGCACACCCCCCCCCATTTTTTTACCTTTATGCACAGACCACAATGAAGTCATTCGTCAGCAGCAAAAGACATTTTTACTAGGCTGAAGCCCAGCAAGGCCACGAGTGCAGCATTTCTCGGAGGCATGGGACTTGAGCCAACTCCTAATGGGATTAATTCCTTCGTCTGTCTCAAGCATATGCTCCAGGGCTCTCTGAAGTTGCTTCCGTCTCCCTCCCTCCCTCCCCCACGACACCCCCCCACGCTTGCTTCCTTTCTTCCCACAGCCATCCTTTTTTCATGAGAGAAAAAGAGTACAGACTCAGCACTAAAGCATGCGCAATATAGATGGTTTAAAAACCAGAGACTTTATTCATGTGGTGAAAATCTCTGCTCTGTTAACCACAGTAGCGCATATGTTATTTCAGTGATTAACCAATTCCTAAAAGAGGTTCAGAACAAGCATTTATGAAGTGCTCTTCTGACGCCTTTATAACTAAAGATTCCACCTCTTCCTCTGGGGCTGCTTCATAAATCCTTCACAATGCCACTAACCAGACAGCACTTCTGGGACACCTTCATTCGCTGTCACTTCCCCACGGTCCTCCTTAGAGCAAGACATCTTTGAAACCCAAGTATTCAGTCTTCTGTGATCATGAAATCTATCTATCTATATCTATCTATCTATCTATCTATCTATCTATCTATCATCTATCTATCATCTATCGATCCATCTATCTGGAGCAAAAGCAAAAGTGAATCACCTGCATTTCCCATAGTCCTGGATAATGGAAGGAATGAAAGGGCATTGGAGCCATTGCACTTACTTCTGGATCAAGAGCGGACAGTAGAGTGGGCAGAAGGAATCCGCTCCCTGTCACTGTTGGCATTTTGGTTTCTATCAGATTCTCACTTTTCCAATCTTAGGTTCAGTTCTCCACATTTCTGCATGTGTTTGTGAGATATATATATATATATATATATATATATATATATATATTATAGTCCCCCATGTGGTTTACGTGGGGCTTTCCTTGGTTTGATCTGGAAGCTGCAGTTAGTGTAGAATGAGACCCTGGCATCATAGAACACCTGTGCTCCTAGCTCTGCACTGGTTGTCAATCTGATACCGGGCAAAGTTCAGGGTGTTGTTGCTGGCATCTATCTGCCTCGAGGGACAATAGAGAGCACCTCTTGGGGTGAAGTCAAACTGCTACGTTAGCGGCATTGAAGTGACCTCCCTGGGGCGCAAGCCTCGGCAGTGTGTATGGAAGCCCTGGGCTGCCTGGGAGACAAGACCGCCCCCCTCGGCCTCGCTGATGGGGTCCAAAGGAAAGAAGAGCAATACACTTGGCAGCAGCTTGGCTGCAGGAGTTGTTGGAAGGAGGTATCCAACCATCTTAGGGACTCCACTCCAGATTTGTGTAGGATTAACTCCTTAGCCCTTTCTTCTCCCAAAGATATCCCACCAGGCAGAGTTTTCCTTCTCTTAGATGGGCTACCTTCCCAGGTTGATGAGCTCCATCTGCCCCTTTAATGCGTTACTGTTAGAATATAAAGCCCTTAACAGCTAGGGACCAGTTTACATGTGAGATTGCCTTACCCCACATGTGCCCACTTGAGCGCTTCGATTGGTAGAACTGGCACTGCTACAGGTGCCACAAGATACTCATTCCGCATTTGTTTAGTGTGGCAGCACATACACTTTGGAACTCCCTGCCTATTGAGATCAAGCAGGCACTTTCAGTGTACTCTTTTTAGTGTCTGCTAAAAACATTCTTGTTTAGACAATCCTATGGATGCTTAGAAAGTTGATGTGAATTTTAAACTGTTTTAGTATTTTAACTTTTTGTCTGCTTTAAAGTATTGCATTTTTTCTTGATTTTCTTGTTTTATCTTTTTGTAAACCATTTTGAGGGTTTTGTTTTGTTTTCACAATCAAGTAGCGTATAAATTAAATAAAGAAACAATCCTATCTAGATATGAAGAATGTTAATATGTGTTTTAATTTGGTTTTAAACTTATTGATTTAAATTATTCTTTGAATGTTTTAAATAGTTGTTTTTAACTGTTTTTGCTGATAATTTCATTGCTTTATTCTTTTTGTAAACCACTTTGGATTTTGTTTTTTTTAAAACAACAACAACAACACACAACAACAATCAAGTCATAGAGAATCCTCAAAAAATGTAGTTAAGGGCTTTGGGAACTATAGCTCTGTGAAGTCAGCACCATGAACAAACTACAGTCCCCATGATTTTTTGGGAGAAGCTGTGACTGTTAAAATTTAAATGTAATGGTGTGCATGTGACCGCAAATGCAAGACACACAGAAATTAGATACTAAATCATACCTGCCAACAAACAGGGTCCTTTAACAAGCATCTCAAAGCTGAACTCGTAGGGAAAGGCATTGTAAACCTCACCCCTGAAGATGTCTGTATCCTGGGGAGGCACAAGGAAAGACTGCTCACTCTTCAGAGTAGTGGATCCAAAACAACTGGCAGAGCTGATGAAGAAGGAGGAAGAGAGAGAAAAGTCACAAACTAGAGCTGTCTGGCATGCATGGCAGTTGACCTTATTGTGGGAGTTCTTGGGCGAGGTATACATTTGCTAATCACCACAACACAGCCCAAGGCCTGCAAAGAGGCCTCCTGCGGGCAGGGAAATGCAACTACAGCCTAAAGTGAATTTGGAATACAACTTATATATTTTTAAAGGCAATCTCCCCAGGAATTTTAAAAATCACATAGCTCCATATAGACATTTTCCAAAAGAAACAGACAGATGCGGAAAAAAGACACTTTGTTTTCTGCAGGAGAAATTCCGTAGCTGGACCTTTGTTCCAACACATAGGGGCATATTTATAAGAGCAACTAATCAGAATCAGGGAAGTTTTTGGAAACTTTCACCTCAGTGGGCCTATTTTTGGCAGCTTTGTTCATATGGGCTGAGGTGTAAATTTGGTGTGCTGTTATCATAGCTTAGTTGGATCTGTGCAGATGAGGTGAAAACACACACACACACACACACATATATGGGAAACACAGTAGTTTCACCATATGCTTGTGGAAAATTGCAGTCAAATACAACTAGCAAGCATAGAGCTAGTTAAGTGTATGAAGAAGTTAAGACAATAAATCTGTGTTTCCTAGACTCAATTAGGTCACACACCCTTTTCTCTGATGATGGAGGAAGTGAAGCCTTCTCTTCCTGTTCGCTCTCTCTCCTCACCATGTAACTGATCAAGGAAGAAGTGTCTTAAGCTTTGCTTCAAGCTTAGAGCCCATGTTTGAAGCTATCTCTCTGTATATTTTTTTTACCCAAGAATATTCTGCCTGTGTTCTCCTTGCTACTGCTTGAATAAATGCATGAATCTGACCTTTGAATCTGTAAGTAAAGCATTTTGAACTTCCTTGGCAGTGTGTGGCCTGTTGCTTGCAAGAGAAGTATAAAGAAGGAAGTGCTTTGCAAGTGGACTAAATAGGATATGCAAAAGGTTTGGGAGCCTACATTCCTAACACTTTACAGTGCTGCTTAACATTTGTGACTTTAAACGCTCCTGCTGGAGAGTGAGTTTAGCCCTGCATTTTGAATCCAGGCAACCAACTGATTCTTTTGTTCTTTACCCGACACATACATGGGTCACAGGGATTCATATTTTTCCTCCCACAATGCTGAACTCTGCACAGTTGCAACCAAGCTATGTTTTCAACACATCAATTTGTAAAGGGGTTCTGAGAGAAGACTGCTAGACTTGAACGCTAGCCTGTACATTTAAATTTCCATTCTCCCACTGTGGCAAAAGGTCATAAGTTGATATTCTAAAACCATCAATCCAGACTTTGTCCAATGCTCCACTGAAGGACACAAGAGGGACCTCAACAAAACGTTGCACAGTGGAGTGCCCTCCTATACCATACTCCATTCCATTCCACCTCCCATCTAGTTTGCATTTTTTGATCCAATGTTAGTTAGCAATCTGGGCCCACAAAGCATGCTCAGTCCTTCTTTGGCTGTTTTAGGGATCCCTCCTTTCCACTTAGGGTGTCCTCTGGGCATGCTGGTGATTCCCTCTTATGAGTGAGTGCTGTCATTTTGGTTCAATAAGCAAAGGCACTCATAACCTTAACCTTGGATATAAAAGGGATGCTGCTGCTGCTGAGTCATGTGACTCCCAGCCCGTTTCTAATTGGCTCAGGCTCCCATTATCAATTATTTGTGCCACACTCCCATTTGCTAGAGAACCCATATGACTCAGCAGGAAAGCTCTGTTTCCTGCGACCTACACACACCGTAACTACTTGCCAGCTGTCAGTGGTCCCTATAACCTCCTCCAGCCCCTACCCTTCTCTTCGCATAGCATAGACTCTGAGGAAGCCATGAAAATCACCATAGGGCCAACCTGTCGTCACATAAGCCTCTCGCCTCACTTTCACTTTCGGGGATGGATACAACGAAGGGCGTGAGCACAGAGGGGAAGAGGACATGCAGGGCGCCGTTTGCCAGGGTTGCCAGTTCCCGACTGCTGCTGAAGACTACAGTCAAGGTTTCCGAAGGCCCAACGGGGCCTGTGCTGATGATGAACGTGGAACGTGCTAAGTCTTCGTCAAGGATCAAGTGACCTGGGCAGAAGGCAGAGAGGAGGTAGCTAGGACGGTGCCTCCTACACACTCATGCAGGAAGCTAATGCCTTTACTTTATCACTGTCTTGGAGCCACACTTCTCACTGAGTTACCCATACAGCAAGGTGAAGACTGGAGTCATTGCACAGCCCTCATTTCCTGTTCTGATTTGAAAGTTACCATTGGAATGGCAGCACCTCAGTGCAGGTGTGGGAGCCCTAAGTGATTATCTCACTTAACTTTCCTGGCACTGTATCGATTGGCAAACTGTGAGAAAGGTTAGGTCAAAAGCCACAGATTTACCTGTGGCTGCCTAGTTCTCTTCATGGAAAACTCAACCCATCCACTGTTGCACACATCAGCCGAGGCATCCCCTTGGGATTTAATTTAATGAACAGCTCAACAGTGGGAAATTTACTGAGTGGCTTCATATCTATTATCTGTACAACTTATAGACAGACACCCTATTGGGTAGTCCAGTATTATTATTCTGTATTGTACTGAAGGAGTGATGAAGGATAGCAGCTTGACCAAAACCAACTAGTGCTAGATCGTGGTTACTAGATGTGTTCACAGCAGAGCTGAGATTTGGGGCATGACTCATAGCTCATGCCTTTTAGCAGCTTTCTAATGGATCATTGTAGCCTGCCTTCAGTTCTAGCCTAGGGATAGTGCTCTTGGGATGGAAAGCTGAACTATTTATTGCATGAAAGCAGAAGACAAATCACCTTTGTCTAACTCTTCCATAACCCCCAAAATGTGGAACTGCCTTGAATTGATGTCTTTGCTTCAAGTCCCACCTTGCTATTCATTTCAGCAGTGCCAGAGGCAGAGCACTGCAAGGAGATGTTACCACAACCAACCATTGGTGCAGCAGAGTGGCTGGTTCCAGCTTGCATTACAGTCAATGCAGCAGTCCTCCACACTGGGCCGGTTCTGGATCTGGAACGTGGAGGTTCTGTTTCCTGTTATAGCTTCAAAGCTTGAGACCACCTCTGACTCCTCCAGGGGATAAATGAAGACTCCTGTGCATAGAAAGACAGATTGTCCATTGGTAATCAGTCCACCCCTTGCACCCAAACAAATCTCTCTCTCTCTCTCTCTCTCTCTCTCTCTCTCTCTCTCTCTCTCTCACACGCACACACACACACACACACACGCACACACATGCACACACATCACACACATGCACAACCCCCCACCCCTCTTCAGCTGAACCGTGCAGATCAGCAGAGGAGTGAGGGATGGTATTTTCTTCCCATCACAGCACTGGGCAAGGTAGAAGCTCTCCAATCTACCTAGTGCTTCAATAGAGAAGAAAATTGTCCTCTCTGCTCTTCAGATATTTATAGGACTTATACTTATACCATATGCAACATCTTGACCAATGGGGAATCATGCATCCGAAGTAGCAGAGTCACCTACATTCCTGATAGATCTAGAACAGCATCTACCACCTGTGCAGTCATAACCTATCACCGTAGCTGCAAAAAGCTCTTACCCTCTATAGGCTCTTCCTCCAAGTTGATGTAAGTAAGGTGGGCAGTGACTCCCAGGGAATACCCATTGGCACAGGCTTTCACACAAGAGCTTTTTAGAGGGAGGGCTGTCCAGGCTGGCCGGCAGTACAAGCCCGGCATGATCTTCAGGTGAAACTAACAGGCCCCACCGACTGCAGCTATGAAGATAAGAAAAGACAAGGACATGCCAATAGAGAAGGCCCTGCACTGGCTCTGCGCCAAAAGCCTCCAGAGATGAAGTTCTCCAGGATCCTACCCATTCATCAGAACCCAGGGAAATACCACTGTCCTCTGACACTGAGGTTCTCTTGTGGATCAAGAATTGGTTAAGTAAAAGGAAGCAGAAAGTATAAATGAATGGACAATTATATGGAGAGATGTAGAAAGTGGAGTCCCCTGAAAGTGGAGTATTGAGACCTGTGGTTTTTTACTTGTTCATAAATGCTCTAGAGTTAGGAGTGAGCAGTCAGGTGGCCAAGTTTGTTAATTAAAATTGCTCATGGTCCTTAAAATAAAAGGTGATTGTGAAGAGCTCCAAAATGGCCTCTCCAAACTAGGAGTGGGCAGGAAAACGGCAAATGCAATTCAATGTTGTTGTTGTTTAGTCGTTTAGTCGTGTCCAACTCTTCGTGACCCCATGGACCAGAGCATGCCAGGCACTCCTGTCTTCCACTGCCTCCCCTAGTTTGGTCAGACTCAATGTAAACAGGTGTAAACTGATGCATATGGGGGCAAAAAAACCCCTTATTTTCACTCATGGGGTTTGAACTGGTGGTGACTGACTAGGAATGAGACCTTGGGGTTATAGTGGATAGTCCAATGATAATGTTCCCTAGGGCTCATTCAGACTTGCTTTGTGCCATGTTTCTAGGCATAGGTCCATGCTTTAAAGCTGGGTGTCCGATATATATATATATATATATATAGAGAGAGAGAGAGAGAGAGAGAGAGAGACAGCACTTTCCTGCTCAAGTCAACTCTTTACTGCTGAATTGGAGCAAATGGGATTCTGCAGAAAACCCAAAATGCAGTTTATTCCGATGCAGCATTAAAGAGTGGGTTTTCCTGGGGGAAAGTAGTGTGGGGTGGAGATCGCTCCAACGTGAAGCTTGCAAGTGCTGACATTCACCTTGAAAGTGTGGGGCAAAAGGTAAGTGTGGATGAGCCCCTAGTGTGCAGCAGCTGAGAAAAAGGCAAATGCCTTGCTAGAGATCATTAGGAAAGAAACTGAAAAAACCTGTGAATAACATTGTGCTGTTACACAAATCAATGGTACAACTGCATTTGGAACAACGTGTGAACTCTTGTGGATGAAATTTACACACGACACCTTCAAAGCACATTTGAAGCACATCCTCCCCCCCAAATAAAAGAATTTATACAAAGAAAAAACTTCCCCTTAATGCAATTTTACAAAAGGAAAAAAGACTCATAAGATGGGTGGCGTATTAGCCTGTAAGTCATTGCATAAATCTCCACCCTCATCGTTCTGCCTGGACGATAAGGTTCAGCATCGAGGGCCTTCTGGCGGTTCCCTCATTGCCAGAAGCAAAGCTACAGGGAACCAGGCAGAGGGCCTTCTTGGTAGTGGCGCCCGCCCTGTGGAACGCCCTCCCATCAGATGTCAAAGTGATAAACAACTACCTGACATTTAGAAGGCAGCTGAAGGCAGCCCTGTTCAGGGAAGTTTTTAATGTGTGACATTTTAGTGTATTTTGGTCTCTGTGGAAGCCGCCCAGAGTGGCTGGGTAAACCCAGCCAGATGGGCGGGGTATAAATAAATAAATAAATAAATAATAATAATAATAATAATAATAATAATAATAATTCTCAAAATCAGTTGCAAGGAAAACATGGGCAAAGATTATACACCTATGATCAGAACTAGGCAGTCGTGCATGATATAAGCTGTGTAAACACCACACATTTAAAGTACATGACCTCCACCAAAGTATCCTTGGAACTGAAATTCACCACACACAGACATGCAATTCCTGGCAATCTTAAGAAACTACTCTTCCCAGGAGTCTTTCGGAGGACTCATGTGCTTTAAATGTATGGTGTGTACACAGCCTTTAAAAGCTGCCCATTGCTTGGAGTTTTCCACTTTCCCCTACTTCATGATCTCCCATCTCTCAAATTTATTGTTGTTAATAATTAATGCCCTGGCAAATATTGCAAGTGTCTTTTAACATCTCAGCTACTCTCTACTCTTTCCCCTTCCACATGTGTGAATTGGTCACCCAGGTAACCTCCGTGGGTGGCTTATGGGATGGGGCGAACAGATGCTGCCCTCTCTCATTGGTCCCTTGGAAAGTCTGGGCCCCACTGAGGGCTCAAGCAAACTGGAAGATGATCCGTATTCTGAAAATAAACCTTTGTTTCCAGGTGACCTTGTAGATGCAGCACTGGCTACACTGGAGAGGTTCTGGCCAGCTGCTGCTCATGAAAAAGATGGCATGGAAAAACAAACAGAGGTGCTATGCAAAGCAGCTAATCAACCCTGAACATGTGTCGATTCAGTGCTTGCATTTCTCTTTGCAACGTAAGCAGTGGCCTGTTGAAACAGATGGGGGTGGAAGGGAGTTGCTGGTTTCTTAAAGCTGCTGTTATGGTTAGAGTGGTTAGCTGCTGTACTCTCCAGAACAGCAACAATCAAAACAGTAATAAGACAGGAGATTGACGACAGGGTGCGTATTTCCCCAAACCCTGAGAACTGCCACTGACCACTAGCTTTTGGCTGAGCCTACCCATACTCACCATCAGCTACATCAAACCATATGAATCCACAGGAAGCCATGGAATATGGATTGTGACTCAAAGCCTCTCCTTGCCTACTCAAGACCCTATGGTTTCATGCGCAATGCATGTGTTATTTCTGTCTGCCATGACACTGATTGGCCGCAGCTTCATGTTTACCAATGACTTATCACTGCCTGCTTTTTTCTTCTTTTAAATCATCAGTAACCTTTATATTTATCTTACCAAAGTAAACAAGACCCATCTGGTCTTTATGTTTTATGCAGGTAGCTGCAAGGCAGTCTGTAATGAATAAACACAGATCCCTGGGTTAGCACTCTGTGATTCCACCCCCCCCATCCTTTCTTAGTTTCTGGGAATGCAGCAGCCTACAATCTTATTACAGTAATATTATAAGAACAAGCAACCCTGGATTTCTGCTACTTTCTCCCTAGCAAAAGATCCTCTTCCCACTGTATCCAGGGGTGGTGGCTGTGTGTGTTCATGTGTGTGTGTACATGTGAACAGGGTAGAAAATAAGTGTCCCATTCTTAAAAACTGACACCTTCTCCAATTGTGTGTACAGTGTCTCTCAAAACAACAACAAACTAACCTATGGTCACGTAAAGCATACTCAATAAACACACAAGACGTAACCGGCTGTGTTCTTAGATAAATAAGGTATACTATTCATGTAAGGTAAAGGTAAAGGTACCCCTGCCCGTACGGGCCAGTCGTGACCGACTCTGGGGTTGCGCGCCCATCTCGCTTAAGAGGCCGGGGGCCAGTGCTGTCCGGAGACACTTCCGGGTCACGTGGCCAGCGTGACGAAGCTGCTCTGGCGAGCCTGCACCAGCGCAGCACACGGAAACGCCGTTTACCTTCCCGCTATAAAGCGGTACCTATTTATCTACTTGCACTTAGGGGTGCTTTCGAACTGCTAGGTGGGCAGGAGCTGGGACCGAATGACGGGAGCTCACCCCGCCGCGGGGATTCGAATCGCCGACCATACAATCGGCAAGTCCTAGGCGCTGAGGTTATACCCACAGCGCCACCCGCGTCCCTTACTATTCATGTATCAAATCATAAATTTCAATATAAAGTTCCACAAATGAACAAAGCAGAAGTTCTGTTCATAAGGTCCAAACAATCCACATGAAAGGTTGTTGCAGTTCCACAGAATCCTTTCATAGTAGTAGCAGCTACTACTATGCCATAAGAGCCACTGTCCTGTAATATCACATATGAACTTTAACTACTGATGGCGGCGAAACAAGGCCAATATTCTGGAAATCCTTGTCTTAGACTCTGTGAAAGGATTCTGTGGAACAGCAACAACCTTTCATGTGGATTGTTTGGACCTTATGAACAGACAGGTGGAATAGACACTATTACACAGATGGACCTTATGCATGAACTGATTAGAGAATGATCTGATCCACTGGGTCTTCTACTTTGTTCGTTTGTTGAACTTTATGAGTTACTTCCATTGAAATTTATGATTTGATACATGAATAGTATACCTTATTTATCTAAGAACACAGCCGATTACGTCTCGTGTGTTTATTGATTATACAGTGGTACCTCGGGTTACAGACGCTTCAGGTTACAGACTCCGTTAACCCAGAAATAGTACCTTGGGCTAAGAACTTTGCTTCAGGATGAGAACAGAAATCGTGCTCTAGCGGTGCGGCATCAGCAGGAGGCCCCATTAGCTAAAGTGGTGCTTCAGGTTAAGAACAGTTTCAGGTTAAGAACGGACCTCCAGAACGAATTAAGTACTTAACCCGAGGTACCACTGTACAGTGTCTCTCAAGCATTTCAGGCAGGGCACAATTCCCAACACTGCTTGGAGATCCTTGGAATTGAATCCAGGATCTTTTGTATGCAAAGCAGATAGTCCACCACAGATCTACAGCCCTTCCCAGAAGAAGACTGCAGAACTAGGAAGGGGGCTCTCTCGGAGTTTGCCACAACGGAATAGCATGGCTGTAGCAATATAGAAGAATTGCTGCAACTAAACTAAGGGCTTTTCTGCACTTAGCTTCCTCTGCTCTTTTTAGGCTCTGTCTGCACTTTAAAGCTCCATGTCAGAGTGCCTCCCCTCCCCCCTTTTTTCTCTCTGGAGCTATCCCTGTGAAAACCTGCTCTCTGAAGTTCAATTGGAGCAAATGGTAATATGTGGAAAACCCAAATTAGTGTTTACACTGATTCAGCATTAAAGAGCAGTTTTTTGTAGGGAAAGATCCAGATGGCAAAAGGTAAGTGTGGATAAGCCCTGTGTTGGGAACATAAGCACCTGTACAGTTGTCTTTAAAATCATTGGTCTTTTTAATGACTCTTTTTTGTCTGTATGCAGTAGCTAAAATAGATCCATAGCAAGGGTTTTTGACAGTAAATCCGTTATTTAAACAATAGGTCCCCCTCATCTTTGAGATCTCCTATAGAGGCTTTACACCAGGTACCTTCACTCGAAAAGATCTAGCAGTGCCCAGAACAGGACTTTGTTGTAGGGGCCCCACAGCCTGCCATACACAGACATCATGACTATTTAGTGGAGCCTTATCCTAGAGTGGCACTGGCTCTTTCATCTCATCTACTGCTTGTTCTATTTGTTTTCATACATTTCTGAATCATTTTATAGTGCACTGACACATATCTTGGGTAAGAAACCTGGCTGTATTTGTGAACAAATAATAGTAATATGGATTGCATCCTTCCTCAAAGAAAGTGGTGGGGAACCTGTGGCCCTATAGAAGTCAACTCTCATCAGCCCCAGCTAACATGGCCAATGATCAAAGATGACTTTTGGGCTGGGGTATTGTTTAGGGGGTTTTGTTGAGGAGAGGTTGTTGCTGTTATTGATATTAGTTTGTTGTATCTTTATTTTAGATCATCTTATGATTTATGTGGAAATTGTTCAGTTTGGTTGTATACTTTTTGATGTTTTACTTATTGTTTATGACCGCCTTTGTTATGGTTGTAATTAATTTTCATGCTGTAAGCCGCCTTGAGCTTTTAACTTTGGAAAGGAGACCTACAAATAAAATGAGTGATTGATGATGGGAATTGTAGTCCAGCAAATGCCACAGGTTCTCCATCCCTGCTCCAAGGAGTTGATAGGATACCAGGCAGTTTCCCATCTACTGCTAACCAGATCTAGTTCTGCTGAGCTTCAGAAGCAGAAGCCTAACACACAGAATCATGGAGTTGGAAAGGACCATGACATGTTCAGACCATTCTCTTTGCTGCAAATGTTTAAACTTTCATAAACCACCACCTACCCAAGACAAGACAAGAGCAGAAGCATGGACAGCAGATGTTAGTACCTGCAAGCAACTCTGGAGAAGTTGTGAAAAGCTCACAGAGATGTGACAAACATTCTCACCCAACTTCCTGGTGGCTGAAAGCTGGAGCAGAGTCAGAAATAATGAGCCAACAGAGCAAACTGAATGGAGTTTTATTTTCAGGACTGGAATATAAGGACAGTATTCTAAATAGGATTATCTGAGACACTTCACTAGCTGTCTGGAGACTGCCCTTATTACACTAAGCTACCCCCCTCAGGTCACACCCCTTCCCACAACTTCTGAGGTTATGCCAACTGAATTATTACACGCACTCTGGAGATCCTCTCTCCGGTCCAGGACAAGAGGTCTAAAATGGGAAAACAGATTACTGGTGCCAATGACATAAATAATTATAATAGGTATTAAGATGGAGCCTCCTGCTGGGGTTCACTGCCTACAGTAGTCTTAGTCTTGCCATGCAGACAAGAAATTTAAATTTTGATCTAGAACCCACAAACCTAATGAAATGCCCAAACTCACTCTGGGCTGTGATGCTATGAGAATGCTGTTTTATATCTTGTAAACTGTTGTTCTGTGACAAATTTTTCATTGATTGAAATGTTTTTACTGTATGCTACTGTTTTGGTCAATTGTATTTTATACTTTTACTGTTTTGTTTTTATGGCAAACCATCTAGAGCGGGCTTCTTTGTCTTGAAAAGAAATATATTAAATAAAATAGACAAAAGTTCAACTTGAGAATGAAATAAAGGAGAGACTCCTTTCACTCACCTTCTTGGAGCAATTTGATAGACTCTCACCTGGGAGTTCCCTCTACTAAGACTACAACGTATTTGATCACATGAAAAATTCAGCCTAATATATCAGTTGTCCCCAAAACTGGGAAAACCCCTATAGTCAAGTGAAACCTCCAATCCAATAGCTTGTGGGGGGTGTGAGACCTCCAGCACTCCTTACCCCTATTTATTTTCAAAAACGGTGCAGCAGAATTAAAACTAAACCAGTCCTGTTTGCCCCCAGGTGAATACTTTTAACAACAGAGGGTTGGGAACATTTGCTAATATACCATGATGAGTTACAGTAAATAATTAATATGATACATGTTCAATACATAAGTGCAGGTCTGTTAGTGATGCAGCAGGAGCGGGAGCAAGAGCAGCTGTCAAGACAGCTGAAAGGTTTGGTGTGCCATGTTCTGTTTGCTCCCTTTCCCATTCACAAAATGTGGGTCACATAACTGCAATATGGGTTTCTCGGTCATCAAGACAAATTAGCAAGATCCGCTTTGTAACAAAGCAAAAGATTCTGCCCATTTGTTCTTTTAAGAGAAAATATGGGAAACAGTAGCAAGCTAAAGTTATTCCTTGCTCAGGGATTGGCTGGGCACATCTTACACTCAAGGGGTGCCTGCCCCCCCCCAAAAGAGCCAGGGTCCCATACAGTCACCGCCTCCAATGCTACCCGGCCTCACCCAATCTCCCACTCTTTTCTTGCCCTACAAAGTTACCCAACACACAACTGAGCATTAAGGGCTTACCTGGAGAATGAGACACTGTCTGCTGTTTTAACCAGCTTGGTTTGGGATGAATTAATATGGATGAAAAATCAGCACATTTCTGGATGGGATCCTGGCATCCAGAGTTACCAGAAGCCTAGTTTCTCCAGCCTCTCAGCCTCTGTCTTCTCCCTTTCAAGAGGGAAACTGTCAGATTCCCTGTGCGATTGCTCACTCACACATACACACTCCCTCTCTGCTGCAGACTCTCTCTAGTACTGGCTGCCTCAATGCCGTAGTGGCTACATCTCTACTTCCTCAGTGCCAGCCAGATGCAAGGAAACGGAGCAGCTCCAAGCCTGGCCTAATTAAAGGGCCAGGCTGTCTGCACTGCTCTGACAGCACTGAGGAGAGAAAACAGCCAGTTCTGCAAGCTTTGTCTTTGCCTTGTTCTCTGGATTATAAAGTCTGCCTGTCAGAGGTAATGAACAGAGAGGAGAGAGGCGCAATTTTATTAGAGAAAAGACACTAGGTATAGTCTATAATCATCTATATCAGGGGTCAGCAACCTTTTTCAGCTGTGGGCTGGTCCACCATCCCTCAGACCATGGGCCGGACTATATTGGGGGGGGGGGCATGAACGAATTCCTATGCCCCTCAAATAACCCAGAGATGCATTTTAAATAAAAGGACACATTCTACTCATGTAAAAACATGCTGATTCCCGGACCGTCTGTGGGCTGGATTGAGAAGGCGATTGGGCCGCATCCGGCCCCTGGGCCTTAGGTTGCCTAACCCTGATCTATATCTATATCTCATTTTGGACAAAGTAACTCCATCTCTTGCACCAAAGAAACACAAATCCTGCTATGGGATACATTGTTTACCATTACTAGAAGAACAGGATTTTAACAGAATGTTTTCACAAGGATTGGAGTAGTGGAAGACAGAGAAGGAGGTGGTATCTGCTGTGGCACACTGGGATAATGACTTGTTTCAGTGCCTTCAACACACTTTCAGACGTTTGTCCATAACCATGAGGCCTAGAAATGTCATGAAAAGTTTCAAGAAGCTATAATTCCCAAGCAAGCCCACAGATTCTATACTGAGTGTAGCACACAAACAATTATGGGGTGCACCCTGGATGTGCCCAGTTATAATAGAGAATACTGGGTTAGATGGACAGAAAGGCTGGCCTGGGTCATTAGAGACCCACTGTGAAGAGATCTTTTACATCACCTCAAACAATGTTTTTCAGTGGAAACAGTTTACACACTTGGGGCCAAACCAGACATGATGGGTTATCATTAACGCACCCCCCCAATGCCCTTATAAAAGCAGAAGGTATATTTGTTGGCATTCATCTGTCTCTGGAGACAATGGAAGAGTGTGCTTTTGGGGATAAACTCAAACTGTTGGAGACTTACAGCACCTGCTGTGGCAGTATAGACCAATACAGCAGAGACATATTTTATTGCAGGTGGGGCAGATGAAGGGGTCCGATTTTCCTACTACAGGTGCACCATGGCATTTCTTCTCCGTGTTTCTCCTGGCAGTCTTGCCTCCTATGGTCCCTGCTGAGGATACACAAGCTGTCTGTCTGTCTCCAGGAACTGTGATTGTCTGCCAGGGATTCCCATATGGCGGGGTTAATGTTGCCAGCCTTCATGTCATGCTTGCAGACATATTTGTAACACAGAGTTGGTCTGCCAACAGGTCTTATCCTGAAGCCAGTACCTGCTGAACACATCTTGGGGGATCCTACCATCTTCTATTCTGTGTACATGACCAAGTCAATTATGCACGAATCCTCACCCCAACCCGTACCTCACCTTCAATACTCCAGGCACTTTTCTCACTTCTTGGCTCCAGTATTGGGAACTGTGGAAAGTGTCTAAAACAACAGATTGGTGGGAGGTAATGCATGGAAATGGATATAAGTCCAGCACACTATTCTACACACTCCTGTCATTGTTAAAGTAAGGCATACCACAACTTCCTCATATATATGAGAAGAGGGCAGGCACATTAAAAGAAACCCATGGCAACCACCATGTTCTATTTGACTCTCAGCTGCCTGTAATCAAGTGTAAAGAAATCATGTTGTCAGGGGCTCAGGAGCAGAGGCACAGGGGAGAGAGGAAATGGGGAGCGAAGGGGAAGAATCTGAGGGCAGCGGAGGGGAGAATGACAGTGACAGCATCCAGAAAGAGAGAGGAAGAAGCAGTAGCGCTCTGCCAGGATCTGCAGACCAGGTGGGAACGTTTGGGCAAAGAGGGGCTGCCAGGAACCAAACCGGAGGGAGTTGGCCTTGGGAAGAGGGGGGCAGCATCGTAGCCCATTTCGACGGGAACCTGCAGCAGTATCCTAACTTCAGAGCAGACATAGTTTTTGCGCTCAATTTGCTTCGGAAAGACTTTAGAGATGAGGAGGAGAAAGTGGGCTTCATAATAACTCATCTGCATGGGGAAGCTAAATCGTGGCTGCGCAATTTATGGCGCGAAAATGATCCCGCCCTCCAAGATTCAAAAGCATTTATCAAGGCTATGGACGATTGTTTTAAATCAACGGTAGATGTGGATGTGGCCAGGAGGGAAATGCATGGGCTGAAGCAGGGCAGAGCCACTGTGAGACAATATCACTCCCGTTTTTTTGCGTTAGTAAATGCGCTGGGCTGGGAGAAGGACTCCGCTGCCGTCAGGGATCTGTTCTGGGAGGGACTAAATGGGGCCGTGAAAGATGAGCTGGCGAGGGGGGAGAGACCTAACAGCACCACCGAAGTCGTGCAAAAAGCGCTGGCGATAGGCGTGCGCCCGGAAGAACGCCCTTGGAGCAGGAATGAGGGAAGTATGGGGCGCACACCAGCCAGAACGACTCCCTTCCTACCCAGAGAGACAGGGCGCGCGCAATCCACGCCTCCACTGGGGAGGGGAGAAGAGCCGATGGAGATAGGTGGTGCTAGGGCTCAGACAGCGACCAGAGACCAAACACCAGGAGCAGTCAAGGCGAAGGCTCCTAGAGGGAACAGGAAGTGCTATATCTGCGACAGTGCACAGCACATGGCCAAAGAGTGTCCCCAGAGGATCCAGAGGCACACTGCAGCCTCAGCAACAGTAAGGGGAGCAGTTCAGCAGGGGGAACAGCTACAGGGAAACGACGAAGCCTGGTTGGAGGCAGAGGCACTGGGGCCCAGCCAGGCGAGTCAGTGAAGCAGTCCCCAGAGATTTTACAGCCCACAGACCCCCTCCCACCCAAACCAGTGGTGCAACTCACCGCATCGCTCCAGCTGCCCAATGGACTCACCCTGGAAGTTCCTATTACCATTGACTCTGGCAGTAATGCAGACTTTGTAGGAGTGGACTTTATCAGGCAACATCGCATAGCGCTCCTACCAGCCACGATGCCCCTAAACGTAGTCACGGTTGATGGCAGAGAGCTAC